ATGTGATATCATATAAAGCATCATTATCGAAGATGGTTTTTTGTAATTATGTACGGCACAACAGCACGTATAGTGATTGTGATAGTTTAAATATGATTATTATTAAATATTTTAATTGATATATGATTACTATTGTAAAGTCATTTTAGATGTAGAGGACAAATTATTTTGGTACCTTTTTTAAATGGTTTAACGTGAAAACAATCTTATTATAAAAAATTTTCTGTTTTAAAGTAAAAATTTATCATTGTTAAAAAATTTTTCTTATTATTTGTTTTTTTGCCTTGATAACAAAGCGATTTAATATAAATTTGTAATAAATATGTTTAAGAGTTGATATATGCCAAAGCATTTGAGAAAAATCATATAATTCGTTTTTCAGATTTAAAACCGGTTGAATAAAAGCAATAAACCAAGTCTACTTACTACTTACTCTATAGTGAGATCTAAAAAAACCCTTGAATAGAAATTTTACAAATGAACCTCACATAATTTTGATCTACATAGTTGACCACACACCTCAATGAAAATGCAAGAAAGGCTTTAATCATTCACAATTATAAAAATTCAGAAAATTAACTAGGCTTACTAAAGTTTTTTATTTTTTAGTAATCTTAATCGAACGTTCTTTGTCAATAGTTTATGTGCATGACAAGTTTGTACTTTCCAATTTTGTACGTCAATCCACATGTCAATACTAAATTAACAGGTTATTTACTGCCAATTTCTAATTTCGTTAATTCAGCTGCAATCATATGAAACTATAGGAATAAGAATTAATGCTTTTTAGTCTTTATCGTTACCGTTACATATTGGTATTAATACATTCCTATGGATAATATGACCATTTATATCTGCATATAGCACTATAATTGTTAACTATATAGGTAGTAAAAAAATACTTTTTATATTCAAATATAATTGAGAAATGCTTTGGTTATTGCTCAGTGCCCAATGATGACTTTTTATTATTGTTTAGAACTTGGTGATAGGCTTTTACAGCCCAATCTTGATGCACCTGACCTTATCACAATCACCAATTGATTACAAAACTAAAGATGAGCGGTTGACAATTTATTTTTTTAATGTGCATTGTATTCAAGAGAATTAAGAGTATGATTAACCCCAATAAAAACGATAACGACAGGGTCTGATCGATAATTCAAACTTGTTCAAACCTGATACCGCATTATGTTCGTTTGTTACCTCTATTAGGCTAAATATGTCGCAAGTCATTCGAAACAGAAATATAAGTAATACAATGTGACATATACACCTAATTTAGCCCATCTCTGTAAAAACATATCGATATACCGATATGTAATCTTGTTTATGTAATTGTGATCATTCACATGACCTAAAGCATGGTTGAATTAGAATATGTTTATAGACTTGTGTTTAAGCCCAACTCTAAGTCCATTAAAAATTATTCAAATTTCTAATTTTTTTGTACTCTTACGCATTTAACCGACAAAATTTATGTAACAATTAACTAAAGTATGTAAACTAAAGTTGCAATAATTTCAAATTTCTAATAGTTCGTACTCTTGGAATATCGCATTCAACCGACAAAATTTATGTAACAATTAACTAAAGTATGTAAAGTAAATTTGAAAGAATTACAAATTGGATTTTCTAACAAAGAATTTGATTTACTGTTAATCGATTAAGCCAACATAACCAAAATTTTTACGCACGTATGCACATACCTTGCGTATAAATGAATCCTAAAATTGGAAGGTACTCTAGCCAATTGTGACTATCTCTATTTTACTATCGCGTGTTGAAATAATTTTTAATTTAGATTATCTAATTTATACTTTTTTTTTTTTTAACCCACATTTAAATGAATTTACTATGCAGTGCTGCTTGTGTACGAACTTAGAAATGAAATTTCTCGGTGTTTAGCGTTTAGTACAACACTATATGCAGCCGAAGACAAGTTTTGTCAATTTTAAAAGAAGACAGTACGCATATATGAATGAATGTGTATTTATCTCCATCTCGTTTTTCTAGAATTTAAATATTATTTGGCATCTTTTTTTTTTTTTTGTTTGGGATAACGAAGATAAATTATTAATTTCTAATTAGTGTACAGAATTTTAATTTACAGATATTTTTCTAGTGTTTTCCATATATAAATTTGACAAAAGCATGCTGCAGGTTAGGCGTATATCTATTTATCAAAGATCATTTTACAATGAAGTTCCCTTACTTCATATTCTTCCAAAATAAATTATACTTAATGGTAAAATTGAGGAATCTGTTTATCTATTATTTATTCGGCGAACAGTTCATTTAATAAAAAATTTTTTTCCATATGACCTTATACTCGAAATGTGCATTTTATGAAATACTTGTTTTGTTCGTTAAGAATTGAATGAATGCGTATGTATTATCAATCTATTAATTTATTCGGCGAACAGTTCATTTAATAAAAAATTTTTTCCATATGCTCTTATTCTCGAAATGTGCATTTTATGGAGTACTTGTTTTGTTCGTTAAGAATTGAATGAATGCGTATGTATTATCAACTATTATATGTTATGAGTAAATGCTATTTAAAAATTAAAAAATTTTTATATGAAAGGATATATATTTACTATATAACTGATAATAAAATTTTTAAGTTTCGTTATTTGTAACTTTTAAAAAATTGTTTTTTTTTTTTTTACACCATCTCGTATGATTAAGGGTCAGTATGATCAAGTGATGTCATGTTGTGTATTAGATTATAACTTGTCCTATTATAGCTTAGCGTTACAAGATGTGTTTATCCATATTTAGATGAAGCACAAAGTGTCTTGACATGGACAATCCTTGTGCGTAGTATTATCGACACAATACAATTCCTCTGAAAAGATAAAGAATAATCACCAAGTAAACCAATTTTTTGTATGAAGCTGTTTGTGATGACAAATTACAATTATCTAGAGTTTTATGAAAATTTGGATAAAAAATTTTATTAATGCAATTTTGTGTTTTGACATTTCTATAAAGAAATTTTATTTTCTCTTTGTGAAAATGTGAAATGCAAATATAATGTATCAGATATATTTTGTCGAAGACAGTAGTTGATAATTACATGTTTCTTCTTGATGAAATCTTGTCCCTCAAAGTTATTATCGACAATTAATTTCGTTTATTGTGTTCATTTTCACTATGATAATAATTGTACAAAAATGAATGCTATTATAAAATGAATTGTTTTTTTAAAAAAAAATTTAATTAGATCTAAACAAATTAATGTATATCGATGTTTAAATCTATATCTGTATATTATAATTATGTAAAATTTTGGTTACTTAATACTGTAATAATAAACGCTTAATAATAAACTATGCCATTTTCATACCGAAACGTAGTTTATATGTAATAGTTGTACATTGGGTGGCATGGGATCTTGATATAGTGACCAGGGTATGATATTTGGTAACACCCAATCAGAACAACCAGAATTTAGAAACCAATATCACGTGCCGGATCTGTTACGCTCACGTTTTAATAGCATATATTCTCATGTAATGCAATTAATGCTTAGCGTTATCATTAGTAAAGTCAAATAAAATTTAGAAATCAAGCGCAGTGATATTCTTTTAATCATACTTTCCATAAATGCAAATACAATACATGCGTATTTGATCTTTGATGTCAAATATTAATTTTATTGACACAGTCTGAAAGACAGCTGTTCAAGATTGACAAATGTTTAACGCGATACCTGATTTCTGACAACAATAAATGTGTCAAGATTTAGTTTTATTTATTTATTTATTTATTTTGGTTAGTATTCGTTACCTAATCGACTTTCTTATTCTTGAATAATGTCTTTTTAAGGAAAATAATCCATGGAACTTAGTAAAGTTAGAACTTGCAAATAATAACAGATCAGTCAGTGTTCAAGAATAAAGTTATATTATTATTATACACACTAAACAAAAAAAAAAAAACTTTCAATAAAAATATTAATACGTAGTTAGGACTTTTAATTTTTAGTTAGTTACGTAAGAATTTTTTCTTTGAAATTTTTTTTTCTTGTTTAAACAAGAAAAACATTCGATCAAATAATCAATGGTTAAGGTTTGACATATTTACACACTATATAATTGTCTCACATTTGATTCACTAATGTTAATAAATCATTAAATCATGCCCACGATGTAAATATCCTTTAGGAGATTTCCCCATAAAAAAAAAATATTTTTAATATGTATAAAATTTTTTAAATCCAATCAATGTTGAATTTCAAAAAACCAAATTTACAAACAAAAAAAAACAAATTTTAAATTTTTTTCATAATCAAATACCACGCAAAAAAAAAAAAATAAACGAACAAAAAAAAAGAAAACCTCATTAATCACATGACGTAGGTTGTAATCACGTGATAAATAAATTCGTCTAAAAACACGGAATTCAAAAATTCAAAGTTAATAAATACAAACCTTTGATATATTTTTTTTTTCTCGTGTTTTATGGAACGAAGTTGATAAATATTTTCTTTCCATATTAAAAAAAACATACATATAAAATATCTGATAAAAAAATTTTTTTTTGTTTGAAGCAACGAAAATTTTGAAAAATAATTTAACGATATCGTGGAACGAGAATTAAGAAAAAAAAAGAAAAAAAAACTTTACAAACGAAAGGCTATACAAATATTACAATGAGTTTTTTTTTTTTTTAAACAAAAAAAAATAAAAAAAAAGGAGTTTTATATTAAAAAGTTTTTTTTTTTTTGGAAGGAACTCAAATACTAAAATAAAAATAATATCCGTCTTTACAATATAAAGAGATTATCGTATATACTACATAGGAAAAAAAAACATAATGCCCGCATACCATCTTAATATATATATTTTTTCGAAAATTTTGTTTTTTTTTTATATTATTAATCCATTCCTTTGGATTATTTATTACCCAAATCCCGCAAAAATTTTTTTTTGTATATTTTTTTTTTTTTTGTATTTTTTTTTTGTATTTTGAACTTTTTTTTTTTGTAATTACTATTATTATAAATTTTTTTATCTCCCAATTATTTGTATCACTAGTCATATTGATAAATAAAATTAGGCGACATATGAACAGGTTGAAATCCTTCGTTTTTTATCAGCGATGGATAATATGAAGAAGAATAATTGGAATTGAAACCAGAATTTACGGGCGAATTAAGAGGCGGTGTTACAGGCGCGTTACTTGAGCTATAGGTACTGGTAGTACTTGCGGGAGAAGAAATAGAAGGAAGTGTTGGAGATGGAGATGTCACTTGATATTCATGTTGATGTAAATGTGAGTGTGATATAGTAGAATTGGTGGTAGATGAATGAACCGGATTATATATTTCAGGGAATGATGTAGGTGATAAATCATGATATGGATTACCAGTAGCATACAAAGGCACTTGATTGTTAAGTGTATTGATGGTATTACTAGTAGAATTATTACTAGGAGTAGTAGTATTAGTATAAAACACTTCGTTTCCTGTTTCTGAATGAGGATTATTCGATTGTGCTTGATGACTAATAGATGGATGAAGAGCGTGTGGCGCATTTGATGAATATGACGGATATTGATAACCAGACCAATTTTGTGTGTTTGTGTTATTTTGCGTTGTATGATAATTATAATCGTTTTGGTGAGAACCAATGCTAGGAATTAACGGTTGTTGGTGCGAAGTTAACAACCGTGACGGAGTTATATTATTAACATGCGAAGTAATTGGTGGGAACTCATGAAAAGACGATTGACGATTCATTAATGCACGCATTGGCGGCATAAGAGTATGTGACCCATCAGACTCATTAGGAACATGACCTTGTGAGGCATATGGAGCAAAATGGGATGCTGGATGCATCGTTGATGAGTAATTAGAGTAAGGCATACAAGAATTGGAAGCTTCTATTTCCATCTTTATACGAGAAGGAGGAAAATCCAAATTTGATAGTCGTGCGGGACTTACGGTACCATCACCTGGTTTTGGGAGGATAGCATGTGGTGAAGCAGAAGATTGTTTTCCATATGTCATACCATCTAATTCTGTAAATAAATTAAAATTTAAAATAATTAAAAAATAAAAAATAAAATAAATAAATAAATAAATAAATAATAATTAGAAAAATAATTGATCAACAATTTATAATCAAATAAATTATTTTTTTTTTTTACCTTGTTCATAATTTGACTCAACCACAGGAGGTATTCTAAAATTTTGCTTTAACAAGAATTCTGGAGAAATCTCGAGAATGGCTAAGTTTGGCATTGAAGATGGAGTCTTGAGCTTACCAGCCAATACATCTTCTTTTGCATAATAACTAATCATATGTTGGCTTACACCGTTAACCATGATTGACATGGTTTTTTTGATTAAACCACCTTTCTTAAAACGATAAGTATTTGTTAAACTACCAACTAATGCGCGTTCTTTATTTTTTTCAGATTGTGATTCCATATCAACACTATCACTCCTTTGACGTTCTACTGGAGAAGAATCTTTTTTACCAGTTGGAGGACGTTTATCCAATTCTCTATAAATAAGAAAATTTCCAAGAATCCTTGATGGGCTCCATACTAAACCATCTGTCCAACGTTTTATTCCGGATTCGCGTTCGTCAAATACAAACACACTTCCTGATGTTATGATCTTACGTTCTTTCTCTTGAAGACGCCGACATATCTTTGTAAGGCAACCTTTTCGACATGCTTCAAATATAAGAAGTGTGTCCTGTGTCGTTTCGATATATCCATGAAAAGTTGGTTCGATACTCATAATTATAAAATTTTCTCGTTAATAAAATGTCAATTATTTACTTTCAATAAGAACAAATGAAAATATTATTGACGCGACTTGATGGAAAGCGAGGATGAAATAAATTATTGGAGCAGAATAGAAATTTTTATGTTTAAATTTTTCATCCAGGAGGAAAATTAAACGATTTGAAGGTTCCTTACTCCGGCTTCTGAGGGAAGGGGGTTGTTTTTATATGTGTACAGCATACAGAACAGGTTTGTGTGACGATTTTTTTTTTGGGATGTTTTCTTTATTATTGAGTCATATTTGTTTATAGTATCTGGCTAACCGTTTATATATATGTGATTATTACAAAGAGAAGTATAAAATCCGTTTATTTTATATATGCGTGTGATTTACAATTGCGCATATACCACCTATAAAAAATGTGATTATAACAGGAAACATTGAAAAGCGGGGTATGATAAACTGCAAAAAAAAAAAAAAAAAATATGGATAATTAATAGTCCGTTAATAGAAACATCAAATCATCTCACAGATGTAAAACGGGAGAAAGCGTGACAAATTATAAAATTAAGAACTTTTGAATACATTATATGAATATAAAAAACTTTTTTAGGATGGTGATACAAAGAAGGTAACAACCAAATGGAACTGAAGAGATTGAGGAAGCCAAATGTCTCAAGAAAGCGATAGTTGAAACAGGTTGAATGACGGGGAAACTTCATTCTGTTTATTCGTCAATTTATTTTTAAGATCCTGTTGTATTACACACATATGTAAAAATGTTACAGTACGAGTTAACCGCTAGGAAGATAATTTTTTTAACCTTTAAAAATAGAGCTACGATCATAACACATTTTGTTTTTATTCTTTAATATTATGCAATATCTTCCTAATATAGTAACACAATTAGGATGGTTAGCGAACAGTCTTATCTTGAACTTCCATAAAAGACCAACCGATGCATTTAGGAGTCCAAACAAGAGATTTTCTTTTAGAGACCTTCCTTCAACTCAAACGTCCTATACGTAAGAACAGTAGTGTAACGTCATATTTTCAAGTACTTATCCCCGGATATGATGACTGCATATGGGAAGCTCCCTTGTCACCATGTTATACAAGTGTCAAAGTGCCCTATATAAAGTTAAGCTGTCAATCGAGTGATCAACAAATGCATATAATCACATAAAAAATTCATCTAATCACATAATATATGCTAATAAATTTTTAATAGATAAAAAAAGATTGAATGAAATTTCAATCCAAAAACAGTATTAACTATTTTTAATTGTAAGAATGTTTTTAATTTTTTGAGATCTAAATAGTTTCATGAAATACTAAAACCCCTTGAATGTACATTGAATGTACATTGAATGTACCTTGAATTTACTTTGAATGCACCTTGAATGTACTTGAATGTACATTGAATGCAAACAATTGACCAAAATTATTTTTTGTTGAAATGACCAAAATTATTTTTTGTTGAAATGACCAAATTTATTTTATTTTGTTGACACAATAATTTTTTGTCAAGATCGAGAGTCAAAGAGAAAACCATGAGGAATGAAATAAATAAAATAATGATTATAATTAATTAAACAATGGAAAGAAATTTTTAGTTAAGAATTAACCTGAAAAATTCCTGTAATTTTAATATTAAACGCAAAACATAATTTCTAGTGATAAATTATTTTATTTTATTTTTTTAAACTTCGATACCATAATAATCCTTATATGTGAGAAAAACAAGAATAAATCAAGAAAATGGAAACATGTAAAGAGAAAAAAAAACGAATTAGCCAACAAAGGAAGTCAACATTGATAACAATTGGTTCTTTATGCTGCACTCACCCATAATTAGTAAAATTATTTAATCTATCAGCCTATTCCCCCCACCTTACGTGAGTACCCAGCCCATTTATATTTTCGTTCAAATCAATTCTATTTTTCAAGATTTTGTAAGTACGTACGTACGAACGTGTCTCAGACACTGTGATACAGTCTTGGTCATTTGATGGGGTTTTGATTTGTTGCGAATCCTATAGGAATATGGAAACGAAACTATCGGCATTCGCACAGTTTGAGAATCAAACAGTATACAATTCAAGTAGCATGAGTGTCAGAAAAAAAAAGTGTACATATAGCACATATAGTACACATAGTACATATAGTACATATAGTACATATAGTACATAGTACGTATAGTACATATAGTATATATAGCATATAGTACATATGGTACGTATGCATATATGCGATATATATCGAATATCTAATATCGTAAGAGAAACGAGCCTTTTTACCTTAATTGGATGCATGAGATCCAGGAAACAATACGTACGTATAAACTATTAGTAGTGGGTGGATAGACAGATCGTATCATATCACAAGAAGTGATGTAATGCGACAACGCATTTACATAGTGATATAAACTAATGGTGACAATATTAAAAAAAACATTGAATCATTTATATTTTTCATTGATTTTTTTTTTTTTTTAGTGATCTGTGTATAAAAATAAATAAAAATAAAAATAAAAAATAAAATTAACTTTCCATTTATTATTACTTAGTATATTGGATCGCCCTAAATGTCAAATCGAATCATGTAATACTGAATTCTAGTGATATATATTTATTGTAAATGATCACAGGTAATGGCTATTGGTTACAAAGACTCGATTCTCCAATAACGTAATTGCTTCAAATTAATCAAATGACCTTCTGCACCTTTGTATTGCATGTTGTGACCGCTTAGTATCGATGGTCGTACGATACGGGCTGCACTCTGTAACGCATTATCTGTTATTGTAGTTGGAGCGGAAAAAAGCAATTCGAGTGTGCACGATAAATATATCAGGTTTGGATCACAAAAGATCAAAAAAACAAAAAAATGATGTTACACGAGAAAAAAATTGTTAAAAACAATAATCAATGTTTAAAATGGTATAATGAAAAGAATTTTGACTTTACCGATTTTTACCAGTAATTTGCCATTGTTTCAGCAGCCGTGCGCGAGTTTTTTTTTTTTTTTTTTTTTTTTTTGACAATGGCGTGAATGAATGAATGTGAATGAATGAATGTGAATGAATTTACTTGTATTAAATCTAATCGTCTCTGGCGAAAGTTGACAGCATTGATAAACGAGATTTACGCCCAGATTGCCAAGATTTCGAAAAATGATAAAGAGATAGAAAAATATATGTAATATATATATTTATTTAAAGATTAAATGGATTAAATTATTAAATTATGCAATTTGAGTAAAATCCGAATTGAATTTATGTCAAGTAATGTAACTTAACCGACTTTATTTTTAATATAAATTAATTACTTTCTAGTAGTCTTTTGGAATTGGGTTACTTTATTTGTTAAATTGCATGTTAAATTGCATGTATAAAAGAAAAAAAATTTTTTAAAGGTGCATGACAATGAATGACAAAAAAAGACAAGATTTGAAAAAAATTCAGGGAACTGTAGAACGTGTTTTCCAAATTTTTTTTTTTTTGTTTCTAAAATTAAAGAAACATGATTAATCATTGGTTTAATTATTAACTAGTTATATTAATTAAATTATTGACTATTATTTATTAACGTTAACGATATAAATAATTAACGAAATAAATGCTAAAAAGAAATCCTTGGTTCAATATTAAGAATTACTACTATCTGATACTATTATTTGATACTGCTACTCGATACTACTATCTGATACTATTATCTAATATGATTTGATATTACTATTTAATACTACTATTTGATACCAATACTACTACCTAATATTGCTACTGATACTGTAATTACGGATTATACAAAATAAGAGTGGTCTATAGTACTTATTATATCAGTACATTCAATTGGCGCGGGAATAAAATTACACAATAATACAACTTTTGGACAGTGGTGTTTTTTGTTTACTAGAAGATGACTTTTGACCAGTAGAACTCCTTTGCCTATTATATCTGTACGAAAATACAGGTTGTATCACAGTTTGTGATAATACAGTGGTTACTCTGTATAATCACATCAAAAAAATCCGAATATACATGTTTACCAACATTGAATCAAACTTTACCAAAAAAAACAAAAATCGGGCAGATTAAAGTAAACACAAAAAAAAAAAGATTTAAATGGATAATCAAGCCAAAAATTGACATCTCTTTGGGTTACTGGTACAGCATGGTTCAATTAGTACATTTTAAGTCATACCGTTAAATCCACTGACACTAGACCAAATATATGTGACCAGAATTAGCCAAACATACAACAACGCCTATTCTTTATTGCTATATTCGAAATTAATTTGATAATTATTAATTCTAATACGTTGTCACTTTTTATCATTAATTCTTTTTGTGCGATTTTTTTTTTTTTTTCAAAACGAGTCAATCTCATCTCGATGAAATTCTCTAGATACATGCTACATTATATACATTATATACATACATAGATAGTACATACGCACTTACATACATGCGTACGTTCTTACGTACTTTTGTACGTAAATACGTACGTAAGTCCAATATGTCCAATGTATATTGGTTGTATCCCGTATCTCGGTTAAATTGCATTATTTGCATTGACGTCGTCGGGTACCGGCTGGCTGCAGGGATGTACATACAAGATTATTTTTTTCTATTTTTTATTTGTTTATTTTTTTTTTTTTTGATCAGAATCAAAATAATAAGGAATAAATAATAATAAGAATAATTAGAATAATTATAATCAAAATAATCAGAATTCAAGGAGACGTTGAACGACTTGGAATAGCGTACCCAAAACGTCATAATGATTATGCTAATGATTATGCTAATGATTATGCATATGTAGTTAAAGTACCAAATAGTTACCGAAAATCTTTAATAAGGAAAAAAATGAACGGAATGGATATACCGACATGGCATATTTAACAAATTTGGAATGTGCCATATTAAGAAAATTACTTCCCTTATATGTGTCGTCATCTATAATCATTTTTCATCATATTTTATCGTAATTTATCATAATTCGTTTCTTATAAATACTTTTATCATCTCATATTTATAACATTATTCTGTATTTATAACTTTTTTTTTTTTTTACCATAATTTAGTTATATTAAATGTTGAATACAGTATGTAATTGGCTGCACTGTACAAGGATTAGTAAATTTCAAATGAAATAAATGGAATAAATTGGATAAATGGATAAGCTGGATACACATTTGTGTTTTTTTTTCAAAATATTAAAGTTTAACGAATATCACGAATATCTTGGTTCTAGGACCCATTCCTTGACGATCTATGCATGGAACCGTTAAAAAAAATTTTTTTTCATTGACTCATTAACACATTTATCAGATTTATCTGTTATCAATTTAGCAATTCATTCATTCGTTCATTCAATATATTGCAGGTTTGTAATTTTGTTACAATGTAGTTGTAATAAAAACAAGAATGTTTCTAATAAGTTTAAAGGAAATGATTTACGTTCATTTTTTATAAACAAAAAAAAACTTTTTTCCACGTCTTTTTGAACTCTTTGAGTGTAACCATTAATAATTACACATTAAACACTCGGTAAGTTTTACTTTGTTTATTTTTTGAATCGAGTCTTCCACAAAAAGATGAATCCTAGGAAAAAGAACTGCCAGAAAAAGTCTTCTACGCACATATAATGTTAGTGTATCATAAATATTTACACACGTAATTAATCACAAAATAGAATCAACCTTCTTTTTTCGTAAACATATCGCATAATTTCTTTGTCAAAAAAATGCTTTCGTTTAATTCTGTAAATTCTGCAATTGTTTCAATTACAACAAACAATTACAAAAGGTCTAGACATTTTTATTACCTTTACTTATGGTGTAATGGGTACTCAATTAAAGTTTGCATAATCAATGTTTATTAAGATAATGGTAGAATAATAATATAATCTTGTGAGAATCTTGTGTTTGTTTTTTTTTCTCAATTTTACACTTTAAAAGATTACTTATCATGTAGAATTTTTTCGTTTTAACCTGAAAAAACGTGAGTATGAAATGCATGTATGCGCGGTGGAAGTTTCACTCGTGTTTGCTAATTCTTATCAATAAAAAGTTTCTCTTTTAGTTTTAGTTTAATGATTACGGTTTTGTTTAAAGATGCATTAAGTTATCTGTAGTCTTGATACACATGTATGCATCTTGTTATATATATATCTTTTTTTTTTAGGCTTTTCATTCTTTTTATACTTCCATTCTTTTTATGCTTTCTATGCTTCTAAATATACATATATGCGCGTGATCGCGACCATAACCATTATAAAAAGAAAACGAAAAAAAATTAGAAACTTTTTTTAGATTATAATCTATGTATAATATATAAATGTAAAGGTTCATTATCATTATCGGAAATTTTATTATTATTTGTACGCGTAAAATAAAATATAAATTTATTTATAATAATAATTTCAATGTTTTTTTTTAGATTAAAAGATAATTTAGTTTTGTTGCTTCGCATGACATTGATAACGATAAGAAAATTGTATGAATAAAAAAATAGTAAATACAAGAATAGTTATTTTACCTGTCAATATTTATGTCCTAGAAATTCTTTGGCATTAGATAAAATAAAAATGCAAACAAAAGGGTATATTTGTTTCGTGTATTAGATTTTTTTTTTTATGTATTAACATTGTTATTGTAATATATTAGCAATTTACTAAAGTGTTTACTATTTACTATGTACTAAAAGTATTTACACATGTATTTACCCAAGAAATTTGAAACGTATTCACCCAAGTAATTTGAAACTACACGTGGATATATTTTTGGTTAGGTTAATACATGTACTAAGGATTTACCTGAGTCGTCGGCTATCCCGTGAATATAGGATTCCCGCGCTACTTGAAACAAAGAAAAAAATTGGTTTTTCTCGAACAAAACGGTAGAAAAACCAAATATGTAGGACAAGTTTTGAATTCAAAATTAAATATGCTCGTAGACAATAACATCTTTTTCTGGTCACTATTACTGGTTATTATTGTATAAATCATATGTGCGAACCTCATGATAATGTTCTTGCATGCGTCAAGGTTACTCCTTTAAACCTTTAAATAGAGATTTTGATAAATTTTTTTTTTTTATCTGATAACTTTCTGGTATATTTTAAAAGAATCTCAGAAAACTATACACAATGAAGCCAAATGTAACAATGAACGATTATACTGTTACAATATTTGGTTAAATGGCAATATGCAAAACTGTTTCCTGTGCCATTAATTTTAGTCAATGGAACCTTTCTAAATATGTTAATTTCATATTAGATTGTCTCACATTAGATTTATCAATTTTATCTTTATTTTGGTGATACTGTTAATATTATTATCTTTTAGTTAATCATATCTCTCAGCATATATCGTTATCTTTCAGGGTATCTTTCAGGGTATCTCTCAGTTTATCTTTCAGTATGTATCTTTCTGTGTATCTTCTAGTATTAAGGTTATTTTAGTATTAAAGTTACTTTAGCATTAAAGCTACTTCAGCATTAAGGTTACTTCAGCATTAAGGTTACTTCAGAATTGAAGCTATTGTTGTTGTGTCGGTTATTGTACTGCGTACTGTATGTAGTCTGTAGAATTGAGATTGCGTGAGAGTTTAGGAAAAACCCAACTACCCGCTATATTTTGAAATTGTATACAAATACAAATACATTATATATACACCATTTCATAATCATTCGTTATTAATTTGTAATAATTTAATAAAATGAAAGTATATTGTGTAAATAAGCAACATAAATCTTAAAACGAAAAGTTTTTTGAGCGGTTAAAAACTTAAAATTTTCATGGCGGAAATTCAGATGTCAATGCAGTAGTATATCATTTCCTATCAATATAATTTTTCACGAGATATTTTTTGTTACAAAAGTTGGTGAAAGGATTTTCAAAAAAATTTTCAGATTCGGAAAATTTACACAGATACCGAATGGATCTCGTGAAAACTATGATCATACACGGGACCTATGCTTCGGCACCTGAATTTTTTGTCGATTATTATCATATTAATAAACAATATAATTACGATTAACGTTAAAGAAACTAAAAAAGATTTTCAAAAAAAAAAAAAAAATCCATCCTATTGTGCTTGGTTAAGCAATGTAATATAATAATTCAAATTTTGTTGATACTTTTTTGTTCACACAAAGAACTTTTTATGCAGATTATTGTTTGAACAATTGTTCAAATTAATATCGATATCGATATTATCAAGATGACTAATATCGATAAACTGTACAAATAGCTATAATTGTAATAACTATAAATTGTAATAACTATAATTGTAATAGTTATAATTACAATTGTAATAGCTACTGTAATGTAATACGTAGTTATAGTTATGACTGTAAGAATAAAAGAATAATTAAGAATAAATGTAAGAACAAACTGTAAGAATAATTGAGAATAAATGTATGAATAAATGTAAGAATAAAATGTATGAATAAAATATAAAATGTAAGAATAATTGTCAGAATAAATATATGACTAAATGTAAGAATAAAATATGAGGATAAAATATAAAATGTAAGAATAAAATGTAAGAACAACATATAAGAATAAAATGTAAGAATAAATGTAATATAATGCATCTATTATAATTACGATTATTGATCTTCGTAATTCAAGTATTGTCTAGTAATAATAATAATTAATCCCAATCGGACAAGAAGTACAAGAAGTCAAAGCCACATTCGACAACAAACAAACAATAGTCTTTTAGGTTGTTAACTTGACGCGAGATAATAATAATAATAATAACTATAATAATAATAACGATAATAATAATAATTTGGCTGACATCTTGGCATATTTGTGCATATTGATTCAATCCATCAAATTGAATAAATTACTATAATTACTGTACTTTACCCTTATACTTACCCGTATTATGCATCTACAAAATTAAAACCTTAAGAATAAGCAACATGACACGCGCCGTTATTAATTGAATTGTTCTCTAAGAGACTTTCTTTCATGCTCAAAAAAAAAAAAAGGAACAAAGACATTTTTAAATTCTTGTTATACAAATAGAGTAAATACCGTTGTAAATGCATGAAGGCTTCTTTTTTTATAAATTCTAACCTTTAAAGAATTTCTCCTTAAGGTACAACCTAAAAAAGCATCTTTCTCAGTAGAATATCCGCATTCGCATTCGCACGCGTTTAATGAACTGTGAATCCCCCTTTTGTTCTGCACAGAGAATCAATGCTTGATTAAAGCTTTATGCAGTTAGTTTTCCAAATTTAGAGTAAGTAAAGTTAATTATTACGTTCGCTAGTACTGTAGTAGATCTAACAAAAAGATGTTACTATCTCATACCGAAAATCAATCTAACTTTAATTAATCGTTTACATAACGAATATTAAATGTTTGATAATTTTCTTTTTCACATAAATTAAAATAAATTAGAAATAAAATCCAAGAAAAGAACAGGTTTAGACAATGTAGCTATAAATGTTTATAAATGTCTATAAATGTATATAAATGTCTATAAATGTATATAAATATATATAAATGTATATAAATGTATATAAATGTATATAAATGTATATGAATGTAATGAATTTATATAAATGTATATGAATGTATATAAATTTATATAAATGTATATGAATGTATATGAATGTATATATAACCTATACATACTATACACACTATACACACTATACAACTATACAACTATACAACTATAATATACAGTACATACAACTATACAACTACAAAACTATAATATACAGTACATAATATACATAATCTATATAAAATCTGCTTGGTTTTATGTTAATCCACAAGATTAAAGAAATCACATGAGGATCTACATAAAGAATTAGGTAAAAAAATTTAATTTCTTAAGAAATCATAGATGTAATAGATGATAAAAATACATTTTCCTTTTTTTTCTTATGATACCTGTTAAACGTTGTTCTATTAAACGTTGTGCATCTATTTAATTAAAACCATTTTGGAAAGGTAGGAAAAAAGTTGCTGCATAGTGGACATGTCATTGGGGCATGCACTCGCGTGAATTCTTAAAAATTTTGCACACGAGAGGTTATATTCGAAAATATATAAGTTAAACCCTTGCATGAAAATCCAGAACATGGCAATACATGAAAATAAAAAAAAATAGTTTGTATAATCACGTCAGCTAGTTTATGCAAAACACCTTTTGTTTTTTTCCTTACCGTTTTACGGTACACATATGTGTACAAAACCTTTTTTCTTTTGAGTGCTACCCATGTGTATTCTATATTGAATTTATTAAATTTATAATTAGATAATTATAATAAATTATAATCAATTATAATAACTATAATCGCATATTTTTTATGTATTTTTATATATATTTTATATATAGTTTATGTATTATATATGAATTAATATATGAATTATATATAAATTATATATAAATATATGTTTAAAAGGTTTCATGATTTTAAATTCATGAATTCACGATAGTTTAAAAAAAAAATCTTACATTTTCTTTGTATAGTTGAGATGCATATGGAAGTACAAGATATAAACCATCAATACAAAACTTTATTCGACTTCTTAATAAAAAGATGTCAATTAATTGTAAAATGCACTTACTGTATATGACTGTATCTGATTAAAAAACACAAACATAATACTAACCAAAAAAAATGAAGACATAAGACTGTTTCTCTTTGACACATTGTTACATTGTTTAAAGTGCCAATAGTGACGCGGAAAAAATATGATATAATTATAAAGATAAAATAATTGATGATAATGAATTTAAATAAAACATTAGCAATTTTATTAGGTTATTTTGTTTTTCCGATAATTTAATTTCTACAGCTTTGTTATTTTTTTTTAATTTGAATCCATTATCATCGTATTCACCATACGTAACTTAATAAAACAAATACGTAATGTGTATTCACATGTTTCATTTTTTTTCTTTCTTTTCGCTTGGAACGCATGGTGCATTTAACAAAGAATTTCTGGATCACATGACCTTGTGTCGACCACATATTTTATCATGCTGTAACACCAAAATCCCATAATTACTATAATTACTTAACATTATTTTGTACATCTCTAAGTATGTATGTACGTACTTAATGCTACAATAACGATAATAATACATCAATCTGTATCTGAAAATAACACACAGAGAATGGGCAAATCCGCTAAATTTACAAAGCGTATTGTACGTAAGCAAAAGTTTCTAGAGTTTTCGTCTAATATGTAAATGAATTTTCTTTTACTTTCTTTACAGTCAAAAGAAGCAAAAAGAATTCAGGCGATTATTAAAGAATCATCACCACTCTCTACTACTACTACTACTACTCCTGTCACTAATCAAATTACGAAAACTACGAAATCAAAGTCAAAAGATATCCTAGCTCCAAAATCTAATTCATCATCGAAATCATCATCGAAAATTAAAAAGAAACAAAGTAAAAGAAAAGTTCGAGCTGCGATTGCGAAACGTCAACAAGATGGTGTTGTTAATAATGATAGAGATTATGTAGATATTTTTGTAGGAAAATCAACATATAAGGCTTTTAACTGAGGAAATATAATTCCTCCTCCATCATAATAAATAAATAAAAATTAAATTAAATTAAACCGTCAAATCCCAAAATTCCCCCAAAACAAAAAATATATTTTTCTGGTTTTTTTTTTTTTTTGTTAAAATCGCACTGGTTTTTCAAAACGCACTAGCAATTTTTTATTTTTATCTTTTTTTTTCATTTTTTTGACACAATTTTTGATTACAAAATAATTAAATTGAAATAATAATATGATAAAAAAGAAAATTATATATTGCAAATTAAGTGTTCTCTGCCTAATATTTCAACAGTCTATGTCGCTCCCCAACAAAGCTAAATAAACCTTTTTGAGATAAAAGGACAAAGCTCACCGGAAATTTTTTTTTTAGATTTATATAAAAGAGATCAAATAAGGACAGAAAAAAAAAAAAGAGACCGGAAATAAGGAAAGTATCTACAGAATCGGCGGGTAAGTTGGATTTTGTAAAGGGAGTTGTGAGGGAAAAAATATATATAATACAAAAATTTACAAAAGAAGGAATGAGAGAAAAAAGAAAAAAATAAGGGTTATATATATATAAAATAAAGATTTTTTCGCTTATTTAACTATACATAAAAAGAAAAAAATATACATAATAAAATTGAAGTTATAAAATTCATGTTATTTGGATAGATAAGAGATTCTTTGATTTCGCAAACAAAAAGGGTTAAAATTTAGTTTAAAAATAGCGTATTTGATTTGCTTAAATTTGTAATTTAAAAAAAAATTTCGTTTCCGTTTCGTTTTCGTTTCGTTTTCGTTTCACATTTCGAGTAAAAAAGTTGGTTAAGATAAAAGAGAAAATATATATGTAAATATATATATGTAAAAAAAAAAAAGTAAATTTTTTTTTTTTGTTTTTTTTTTGTTGCGAAATCAATCGTAAAAGTCCGAAGACTAAAAAATCATATATATAATAATTTGATCCATAATAAATCTTAATGGTTGCGAAAAAAATGGATCTTGTAATTTAAATGTTGTGATTTAAAAATATTTAAAATTAATTTGGTTGTTTGGTTGTTTGGTTGTTCATGAGAAAGATATTATTCCCACGAACTTTTTTTTTTTGGTTCTTTTTTTTTTCTTTTTCTCTAGGTTTGATTGATTATTTTCCCTTCGTACCAAATAAGAACGTATGATTAAAAATCAATTTTTTCCCCAAAACTACCTTCACCAAATCCGAAGATAGGTTTGGTTTGTTCGGTCATTTTAGAATCGGTCTTAGTTCTAGAATTTGGAATGTCAATCGGATTGCTGGTTGAATATAAGCAAGTGTTGTAATCATCAAAGATGGTATCATCACTATTGTTTTGGCAATTAATGCCGGTATAACATTGGTCCAGAGTGCAAACGCTAGTAAGAGAAGAAGACAAATTAGATTCAGTGTAAGAGCTGCTAGCCGATGATGGTGGAGAGAGAGCTCTTGCGTTAGACTCAGAAGCGTGGTAGATGTTTGGAATTATAGCAATGGAGAATCTTAAATTCGAAGGCGGGGAATTCGGAGGGCTAAGAGTATTGAGGGAAACGGTTTTGGCCGAAGGATTTTCCAAATTTGCACATTCCGAGCTACAATACAACGCATTCGTATCGAATATTTGCTTGCCGCAAATATAACACCAGCTAATATCCATCTTATAAATTGAGAAGAAGGAAAATTTTTGATATTTCTAAGAGGCGTAAACCCGAAGAAAAAAGTAAGATATTGATGTTTTTTATTGATTCAATGATACTATTTCATTTATTATAATTCTAAGTTATTTAACAAGGTGAAGTTTTTTGTTGAAAGTGAATGGTAAAGAAAAATCACTTTCGTTATAATTTGTTTCTCAGAAGAGAAGTTTAGTGAAGTAATTCGTCTTTTCAGAGAGTCTTTTTTATAAGAATTTGCTTCAGCCGAATTTATTTTGTTATTGTTAATTGAATCGTATTATAAAACTATATAAAAAAAATGTACATGTTAGTATAAATAAATATTTATATACTATATATGCTACATATAAAATAAAGTAGTTTTATTTATACATTGTAAACTATACGTATATATCGATAAAGCCGAATATGAATGCATAGATAAATAGATAATCGTTTATAATACATTACGTATAAATTTGATATAAATCTTTATCAATAATGAATTGCCGATCATCATAATATTCTATTATAAAATATATTTAACATATATAAGTCTTTATTTTAATACGTATAAACGATAATGGGTAATAGACTTCAAAAAAAAAAGTGGACTGTATATTATAGTATTTGAGCATTATATTTGAACTGAATTAGAGTGAATAACTACATATCAAATTTTTAATTAAATGTTAGTTCGGTCACCTCATTTTATAAGATAGGCTGTAGTGCAAGTTATAACCCGGGTATAAAGAGTAATTAACATGCAGCATATCTTCGTTTATAATAAATTACCTATATCGATATCGATATCGATAATAACTAGGTGTGGCTTATGTGAAAAATTCGATTCAGTACATTTTTATCAATATTAATCCGACCATCCAATAAATTTAATATCGATATAGAATCCATTCCATGTTTTGAACAAACTAAGGAATTGATTTTAAATAGTTGTTATATGTTTTCGGTTTAAAAGCTGGTATTTTTTAATTCATTTAAATTAATAATTAATTATTTCTTCTATCGTTGTCTCAGATGTACAAATTTAGTTCGTATCATAAAAATATTATAAATTCAATTTACCTTACATTTATATGAAAGAAATTATCCAGTTAGCACGGTTAGCAGTAACAAAGAAACATTAATAATTCTAATAAATACTAAAGTAAATAATAAGACATTTATTTTAAACATGGCCTCAAGAAACTTTACGAGCGATTGGCGAAGGTATCATATGGTACTACACGGCTTTTGAACTACTTTGAACTGCTTTGAACTACTTTTGAAATACACACTACTTCATTATACATAAGTATTTAATTATGGTTTGCATCTTCGGAATTTTTAAAAAGCATGAAGAAATTAGTTTACCTCTTCGGAACTTATGAAAAGCATTAGAAAATTAATTTGCCTATATGTTTATTTTTCTTTTGAACAAGTCACCGCAGTAAATCGGGACTAAGACAAAGAAATTTCATCGATAATTAAAATTATATACCTATCAAACTGCTACAATAAACAAATAATCAAAAGTACAACATAATTCTTTATTTGATTTTGCTACCGTTGATATTGCAAAGTACATATGTATTGTTTTCCTAATTTCTGAAAAGAAAATTTCCAAGCTATGTATGCTATATATGCAGCATTATTGTGTAATAAAGTCCAATCAAATCGACATAATGCACGCATATAATGAATCGACATTATCATCATCATTCAATATTTTGAATATATTTTGCACTGGTCAACCATTGATAAACCATCGATTAATAATTAATGTTAATAAATGCCAATATACGATATGTAAATATAGAATACGTAAAATTATTAGTTTTTTGTCATTTTTATTCTCTTATCGTTATTTGTTATTTTCATATTAAATTTCTTATTAATTATGGATGACCTTACATTTTTCGTTTCATATTTTATATGACAATAATTCTTTTTCGTGATATCCTCTTTTTTCGCAATACAAAATCACTGAATCACCACCTTTTCTTTTTTCCCGCTTTTTTCCGAATTAACTGACGTTAATGAAAAAAAAACCTAGGTAACGCGTGTAAAAAAATTATTTAAAAAAAAATTTTTATTGACATGTATGTATGTACATTCCCTTGTCATTATCTAAATTCAGCCTTGTATAACTTTTTTTTAGAAACATATTCCATGAACTAAAAAAAAAAAAATTTCTCACAGGATCATGAATTACTTATAAAGTATTATAATTTTAAATAGAAAACGTGGTTTTAATCAAATAGTTTATAAAAGTTCAGGATAATCGTTAAAAAAACTTATTCACTAAAAGTTTGTAATCGGTAACATTTAAAAAAAGCATAATATTCCGGTTGTCTAATAAGTATATTATGAATTTAGGTATCACCAAAAAAAAAAGTCAATAACCTCGATATATCCTAAATCCAGTCCTCGATCCAATTGCGTAAGATAGATACGCTTATTACCGAGCAAACTGTTTTTTTTTTTGATCAATTATCACGAGTGTATATTTGTTTTTAAAATGTGGCCTTAAAATAAAGAGTATATATGCTAGTCGGGCTTTGGCGGCATACATTGTTTCTATTTCTTTAGCCGACATACATTATCTCTAATTTATTGTAATTCCTTAGATAAGAAAATTTTCTGCGATGTCAACGTTCATTAGCTATCGTAATATAAAATATTTATTAGTCATGTAAACATCGAAGAACCAATTACTTAAAAATTTCGATTTAATGTTTCGATTTTCTGTAAACCCTGACATATGATATATCAAGTAGAAAGAATTACCTTTATTTCGCTTGAAAATTTGCATATTAATTTTCTGAAATTAGTTAAATTGCTAAATTCAAAATATTATTAAGCCCTATATACAAACATTGAGTCAAAACATTAAGTCAAAACATTAATGCTCTTAAGCATTGATGTTTGTTTTGGCACTAACAATATTTGCATATATTGAGTTTTTTTTTTAACACGCATTTTCTTTTTAGAACAAAAAAAAACCAGTTTAATTTACTATAAATATTCCCGGGTTATTGTCTCATAAATATTTTGATATATTCCGAATGTTTTTTTATTTGAATTTAAACGAGAAATACAGTGCAAATAGCAATATTAATAGCAATAGTAAATAATACATAAAATTTTTTATCCAATCGCGAAAAATAAACAATAAAGCTAGTATCCTGCATAGGTGTTATTGAAATCTCACGCCAAAAAAAAAAATATTATATATATAAAACAAAAGAAATAGATCAAAAGCAACTTAATATTTATATTGGGACTGCCTAATATGTAAATAGACAATATGGTCAATAATTTTATTATTGTAATTTCTAATTGTTCATATTAATCTACAATTTTTATTGTCTTATGCAGCAAATGAGCAGGTGCATTTACTCCAATATGAGCTTTCCTGGTTAAAAAAATCCTTAGACGACTTAATTTGTTTTACAAAGATTTCTTGCCAAAATAAATTTATCCAATGTTCTTATTATAATCTTCGTGCATTCATATTGATCTTTAATGAACAACAACTATTACTATCGCAGAATTACTATTACAGAACTACTATTGCAGAATTACTATTGCAGAACTACTATTGCAGAACCACTATTGCAGAACTACTATCGCAAAACAACCATTACAAACAACAAACAAACTATAACAAACAACCATTATAACAACGAACAACTATTCAAACAATCATATAAATTCATTGCAATTATTGTGCACAATAGGCGGTATTTGTCAAATTTTAAATTCTTTAAATTCTTATTAAGTAAACACGTACAATATTATTATTGTTATGCCAATATTGTATGGTACAGACATTGTCTATATTATGATTATCCGAAACAATAAAATGTATTAATTAAATTAAAGTATATGTATTAATACTTTTTTTATATGTAATAACCATATATAATTATAAAAATTATAAATTGTTATACTATTATGTATGTGTATGTTGATATACTTGAATTAACATTTAAAGATACTTTCAGGTTTATAAAAACATAAATGAATTTTTAAACAATGTAAATCCATTTTCGGTTTTCTTGATAACAATAAAAGTTTTTTTTATATAGTTGGGGTCTATAACCTTTTTAAGATGTATGTTTTCTTAGAATAAAATGTAACAACGATGTTTTTTCCAAGAAACATTTGAAAAAAATATCAATGTCATCTTGTAAGTAAATAAACAAACCTTTGTAACCATTAAAATATTCTCAAGAATTTCAAAAATATTTTTGATAATTTGGGAATATTTTGATGAATTCAATCAGTAAGCCAAAATAAAACCATAAATAATAATAATTAAGCTTAATATGTTTTTCTATCATTATACGAACCAAAAGTTTAAAGTTATGCTCTGGTCATAAATAATGTCTTTCTTAATCTGGTTAGTTTAAATGCAGGGTTCATTTTGAAAGGTACATACCTTTACTTACCAATACCGATACGGTAAACATCACCGCCCAAACTTTGTTTTACGTAGAAGACACTAATTATAACACATAGGTTATCTTGTCATCTTGTAAATACAAATGTTTACAATCATTATTTTGTTATATAGCCTTATATGTCTCGGTCATACACATATGTTGTTAAAATTAGGAAATAAGATAATACTGCTCCTATTGTGTACGTAGATGTCTGATTACGCTTCGCTATCTTTTAGCATTCACACAAAATGATTTGACAGTTATAAATGATTGTGTTGATTGTCACCTTGTGTTTAATCAATATTGAATCTTTCTAAATTGGTTCTATCCATCTATACCATCTATAATCTTTTAAATCATGTTAATTTCAATTTCACGTTTTGAGAAACTTTCCTTAATTACTTTATTATTAATACTTACACAAAAGAGTTTTTTAAACTTTATCCGTGATTAGGTCTTGTTACAATACATGGATTTGAAGTGCTTATGTTTATAAACCTCTTTTGGTTAGAACATAGTTTGCTTAAAAAAGTTTCCATAAAGTCGGGTCA